GCACAGGCAGGGAAGTATTAAAGGGCCTCATACTAAAGGATTTCTATCAATAAGTTCTCTCAGCATCAGAAAGAAGCTACAGTAGATTTCAGTCTTGGGTAGATCTGAACGTGGAGGCCATGTAAAGGATAACATTCTGTATAGTGGATGCAGTGAATGATACAAAGCCAGTAACTTCCCGAGTTTGGATTCCACCTCAGATTCCTACTGGCTGTGTGACCTTTAAGTGGAAGGCCGTTACTCCCTCTCAGCCTCAGTTGCCTAATATGTAAAATAGGGCTGATGTGAGTACCTACCTCACAGGGTTATTGTGAGTGTCATATGAGACAATGAGTAAGGCAATTTTGTAAAACTTCAAGTGCTATATGAATGTTAGCTATTATTGTTAATACCTCAATATTCCAATGGACCCATGATCTCACTGGTCCAACCTAATCTTGAGCACCTACTCCATATGAGGTGCTGGGCTAAGATACAAGAACAAAACAAAAATAGTCCTTTCTATCAAGGGGCTTATGTTCTGCTGGGGAAATGGAGAATGTAAGACATAAAAAGATAAGTATGGATGTGATTGCTGGAGATGGGAGGGAATATTGACAAATAAGGGGCAAAGAATAGTTTCCCAATGAGAAGTGACATATGAGTCCAGTTTTTAAAGAAACTAAGGTTCATGTACTCCCATCACCATGAAGAATGGCAAACCATTCATGCCTTCTTATCCTGGCCTTCAAGAAATTTTCTATAGAATAGTCACCCTAGGGAGCTGGAGGCATTCCTCTTGTCCTTTTAAGATTTCATGGGTGCCAGTATGACACTGGGCCGGGGGGGAGTCCAACTCTTATCTCTCTCTCTTCATATATGACTAGCCCACATCTGTGTCCCTGATAACATGTGTTATGCTAATCCTTATACATAAAACATCATTGTAGTGATGTCACTGGCAGCAAAATAAGGCCATATATTTCTTTCTTCATCCCTGAAAAACCTATCACTGCTAGAAGTGGCAAGGTATGGTAGGAAGAGTACAGGACTGGGAGGCAGAAGACACGAGTTCAAATTCCATGCCTGCCATTTACTACCTATTTGACCTTGGGCAAGGCATTGAACCTCAGTTTCCTCATCTTGGTTGGACTAGCTAAGTTCTAAGATCTCTTCCAGCTTGTCTCCCCCATTAGAAATGTATTCCTAGAGCTTAGCATGGTGCCTGGAACATAACTTACCAAATAAATACTTTTTGATTGTTCAATCTTATGATCCTACCCTTAAAAATAAGGGCAGTGATAAAATAAGCCAGAAGCAGGGGAATTCAGGAAGGATCCAGATAATAACTCATCAAAATTTAGTAGAGCCTTCTTAGGAAGTTGACTGAGGTACAGAGAGGTGAATGACTTATCCAGGGACAAACAGCTAGTGTCAGAGGCAAGATTTCAGTCAATTAAGACAAGCATTTGTCAAACGCCTATTATATGCCAGGCACTGTGTTAGAAACTGGAGATACCAAGAGAAAAAAATGGAACAGTCTCTTGACCTCAAGAGGCTTACACTCAGTCGATCAACAAGCATTTATTAAGCACTTTCTATGTGACAGGCATTGTGCTAAGTGCTGCAGATACAAAGAAAGGTAAAAACAGTCCCTGCCTTCAAGGAGCTTACATTCTAATGGAGAAGAAAGCATATATGTATATACAAATGCACACAAATGTATATATACATACACATATACACACATAGATATGTACATATATGTGTGTGTATGTGTATATACATGTAAGATACACACAGAGTAGATGTAAGGTAATTTTAGAGAAGTCTCTGCAGGAGACCAAGAAAGGTCTCTTGCAGAAGGTAGCTTTTGTGCTGCATCTTAAAGGAAGCCAAGGCTTCCAAGAGATGGTGATAAGGGGGGAATTTGAACTCAGGTCTTCCTGATTCCAACTCCAATACTCTAGCACAGGAATTTTTAACTATTTTTGTGTTCTGGACCCTTTGGGCAATCTATCGAAGCCTATGGGCCCCAGACTGCATAAAATAAAATACATAGCAAGACCAAGGAAGTCAATCAAATTGAATTATAAAATAGTATAAAAACCTAAGTTCATGGACCCCAGGTTAAGAATCTCTCCTGTAGATTCACTCTGCCACCCTGACTCTCTGCCAAGTGTAAGGTTGGAAAAAAGCCAATTCCATGATTTCTTAAAGCCAGATTGTCTCTGATGAGAAGGGAGTCACGGACCAGGGACCTATGGACTCAGTGGCTGGTATCTGAATCCACAAACGTGTGCACTAGGTAGCAGTCATTAAATCGTGTTTGCTCAAAGCACCCGGCATGCTAAGGAAACACATATAAGCCCAGCCTTTGGCAACTCTCCTCTGTAATATTTTTTCTCTAACAAACTCTGCTCAAGGACTATGACCTACATACTCCAGTAATAACGCTTTTCTTGAAAGCCTTTTCAAGCTTGAACCTCTTTTCTCATTGCATCCCATAAACCACAGTTTCTGTGACAGCTATTTATGAAATGTAAATTAGTGACCTGAAAAGAGAGCCTTGCACCCGTGTTAAGTGGTCTGTATATTTTTATGTAAAATTCTGAGGCCAGGATAAATTTGTGCCCAAGGAAAGAAGCTAGGAGACTAATAACCCGAAGGAGAGATTGTAAAGATTGAAGATCCATTAAAAAATTGGAAGCTTTTATAGGATTATAGAGAATCAATTGTGTATCTCCCTGAGATGTTCACCAGTCCTTCTCTTGGGCGAGATGATGGAAGACAGAGATGTATCATGAGAAGCACTGTTAGCAAATCCATTAAAGAGTTTGCTAAGGGTTACTGCCGGGAGGATCTCATCTGCTTTATGGCCCTACGTTTATTTCATTTTCAAATAACTGAAGCATCGAAGGAAGTCTTAATGATGAGGAGCCTGGACGCTTGGGCAGGAGGTAGTACAGGTTTCTTTCATGCGTGAGTCCATTCATTCATTCATCAAACATTTATCGCAAGCCTACTTGTACAGAGTCCCTTGAGGGTGCTGGGGGAGATCTAGAGAATGAAGATGACGTGCTCCAAACTCTCCTTAGGGAACAGAGTTCTGCAGGAGAAGGAAAGCTGGATTTGGAGGAGGAGAACCTGGCTTCCAATCCCAGCTTTGCTATTTATTACTTGGATGTGACCTTGGACAAGTCCTTTCCCCTCTCTGGGTCCCAGTTTCCTCCTCTGCAAAATGAAGGGTTGGACTAGATGGCCTCAGAGGTCCCTTTCCACCTCCAGATCTATTATCCCATGCCTCTACTGAATTTACAGTGTAGTAGGGAGACAAGATCTCAACAGAAATGATGAAGAATCTGGGAAGGCTTCCTGGAAGAGTCAGCATTTAAGGTGGTTGCTAATACAACTGAGGTTCATGTTGCAAGGAGGAGCAATAGAGTACTTTGATGACTTCCCATGTTGAGGCACAGAATGTCAGGGCTGGAAGGAACCTTAGGAGACCATCCCATCCTATTCCTTTATTTGGCAGATGGGGAAACTGAGGCCCAGGTAAGGGACATGCCAAAGCCAGAAGGAGAGACGGGGAAGAATGGCTTTCCACTCCAGCACTCATTAGGAAGACAAATTTTTTGCTCTCCTTTGAGCTTCTGTTTTCCCCTGCATCCCCTTCTCTAGCCATCAATCAATGACTCCCCCAGAGAGATATTAAAATACACACTTGAAAAGGTTGGCCTATATACCATCTGTTCACTAGCTTGACAGAGATTATTTAAAAGGGTAAAGGTTGAAGAAAGAAGGGCTACTCACAGTTTATGCCAGGTTTGGGAGGCAACCCTATATGAAAGCTGACTCAGTTTCAGCTCTCTCCCCTCCCCTTCCCCTTATCAAAGGCAATCTGAAGCCACAGGGTGATAAAGGTGGGAAGTAATGGATTTGGAGTCACAAACGACCTGGGTTCGAATCCCAATTATGCTACTTACTGTGTGACCTTGGACAAGTCTCTTAATCACTCAGACCCGCCCTTCCCCCCCCCCTTATCTTTTGTGAAATAGGATCCTATGAACCCTTTCCACTAGGACAATTTTATTTCCATCCGTACCCATATCACCCTCTGTCAAAACAGAAGCTGCTCCTCATTCATTTGCCTTCCACTATTTATTTTTATTTTTATTTTTTTGAGCACCCTCTCTGTTTCTCTCTTCCACTCCCAGTCTCCCACCCCCATGGTACCCTTATGGCTTAGAAGTCCCAGAGAGAGGCCACCAGGCAGACTTTGTTCTGCCCTTTGGGCAGCACTGGTTGGCGGGAAGGGGCTTGGAGGTCTCTGCACCAGGACCACAGGGCCAGCGGCAGCAACCTTGTCTTTGAGGTTAGCACCTCGGATCACTTTTCTCCTGCCTCAAGACCTGGGCTTCCTACTCCTAAGCCTGGTCCCAGAAGGTGCTCACTGGGGGAAGGGGGGTGGTGGGAGAGGTGTTTAATCCTCCAGTACCCTAACCTCCCGGGTGTGGTGATGGTGGCGGCAGGAGGAGAGGAAGGGTTCTCCAGGGTTGGCCCTTTGTCAGGAGTGGGTTTCTCAGCACCCCGGTTATGGAATAGATTTGATGAGCAAGGCTCTCCAAAGAGAGGAAACCTCGAGCCCATTGCGCTGGGGCATCCCTGGACACTCCCTCCCTTCTCTTGCGTTCTCTCTCTCTCCTCCGCTCTTCTCCTTCTCCTCTCCCCCACAGGGGCGGGGAGCCCTGGGGAGCTTAGAGTAGGGCGGTAGCCAGGGTCCTGCAATGTCCGCCCAAAGCAGCAGTACCTGCGGCGTGAGCCCCAAACTCCATTCAAGTTTCCCGGGCCGGGCGGTGGCGGAGGGTGGGGGGCCGCGCAGAGAGGATCCGAGCCTTGCTGGCCTTGACCCTCACACGCACGAAGCCATCCCCCGCAAATCTCAGGCAGGGCGGGGCTAGGGGCGGGGCATACATCGTCCCCGCCCCCTCCGTAGCTTGCCACCTCCTCCTCCTCGTCGGCTCCCTGCTTGCAGCCCGGGAACCCGGGCCAAGCAGTAGACAGCCCCTCGCGGGGTGGCAGCAGGAGCAGGCGGCGACTGTGGCGGTGGCAGTGGCAGTGGCACTGGCAGAGGCAGAGCAGGCGGCTGCGGCGCGGGGGCGGCGGCGGCTGCGGCCCAGGCGGGCGGACTGACGGGCGGGCTGAGAGAGGCGCCAGGTAGGCAGGCAGAGAGAGAGGGAAGGGGGCGATCCGGCATCTCGCCTCCGGGAGGAGGAAGACTAGCTAGACGGGGTGGGGCGGGGGAAGATGGGGACCACCCTGCAGAAGGCCAGCAGCCACCGCCGCCGCACCTGAGCCTCTTACCGGTTCCCCCGCCAGGCCCGCCCCCTCTTCATGAGCACAGCCGGGCAACCCAAGCAAGCTGCCACCCCGGCTGCGGTGCAAGCAGACATGGCCCTGACTCTGACCCCAGAGCGCATGAAGATATCAGAGGTGGAGATGGAGTGTTACTACTGTCTGCTGCAAGCAGCGGCCCTCATCGAGTCCATCATTGCAAGTAAGGGAGCTCCTGCCTCCGCCCCCGTGTCCCCTAACACCCCCAAGCTCCCTTTCCCCTTCAGTCCACCGTACTCCTCCATGCAGCAGCGCTCAGTCTTCTGCCTCTCCCCTGCTGTCCGACCAGTCCAGTGGGACTGGCAAAGCAGCCCCCCCCCCCGGTTCCTCGGGCTTAAATGGGTCAGCGCAGCTGGAAGCAAGTCTGGTAACCTCCTGCGGCGCACCCACTTCATTGGTTTCCCCTGTAGTGGCACTACTCATAGAGAGAGAGCACGTGGGCGATACAGCCACCCCCCTCCGCTCAAAGAAGTTACATATTTTCTCGGGGATCCCTGCTCCCCAAATCTAGAGGGCAGGAGAAACACGTGGGTGGGATTGCGAGTCTGGACCAAGCTCCTTGGGCTAGGACCAGGAGTCAGGTGCTGCCGGAGGAGGAGAAAGGGCGTGAGCCCCTCTGCTTGGTACTGACCCTGTAACTTGCCAGCTGGACTGATGATTTGGCAAAAGGTGTGTGTGTGTGTGTGTGTGTGTGTGTAAACTCCCTTGCTAACAGCTCAGTGTAGTTTAGGCATCTGTGTTAGGGACCGCGGGGCTGGCCGTTAGCCAGCAGTGATTCAAGCATCTCACACACACAGTGGACAGGTGCAGCCGGGGCTGGTGCTGCTGAGACACCCCTAGGAGCTCCTGGTACCACTCCCAGGCTCAGGAGAGCTTAGGAGAGATGGAAGGAACTTGAAAGCATCCTGGGGCTACTGGGCTCGAGCACCAAGCATTTATTAAGCGCTTATTGTGCACCAGGCACAGTGCTAAGCAATGAGAATACAAAGAGAGGTGAAAATAGTCTCTTCCCTCAAGGCACTTAGATCCTGGGGGAGGAGACAGCATACAGATTCATTTATCCATACGAGATAAATATAGAGTAGGCAGAAGTTAGCCTTAGAAGGGAAGGCAATAGCGGTTGGAAGAGAGAAGTAAAAGCCTCCTATAGGAGGGGGAACTTGGACTAATTCTTAAAAGAATGCCAGATTCTTGGAGTCACTGGTGAGGAGGGAGAACCTTCTACACGTGGGTACAAAGGCTGGGAGATGGGAGATGGAGTGTGGTGGGTGAGGAACAGGCCAGCGTGGCTGGTCCTTAGACTGAGTGGAGGGGCATCATTTGTCAAAAGCCTGGAAAGGTGGGAAGGATCCAGGTTGGGAAGTACTTTAAATGCCAGTCTGAGGGGTTTGTATTTGATCCTGGAGGTAATAGGCTCATCTTACGCTAGGCACAACTGACTACACTGGCCCAAGGGCACAAGGGTAAGTAAGTTGGCAGAGCTACGATTTCGAGCCAGGTCCTCTGGCTCCAAGTCCAAGTGCGCTGAGTACTGACTCTACCCCTGTGCTGCTTGGGACTCATGCCAAACTCTAGGGCTGAGCTGAGCCTCTTCAGCAAAAGGTCCTGAGGACAGTGAGTTCATGCATAGCCTCTTCTGCAGTGTCAGTCTGCTCTAAAGGAAGAGAAAAGAGAGTTTTGGTATCAAGAGAGGGAACTATAAAACACACACTGGCTGGCACTGGGGCTAAATTGCTAGACTTGAAGTCAGGACGTGCAGAGTTCAAATGTTGGCTCAGACACTTGACATGCCAAATTTAGGAAGTAATCTAAGTGATTCTTCACCTCTCTGAACCTATTTCCTCCATAATGTGTGAAACAGGGATGCTAATTGTACCTACCTCCCAGGATTGCTGTCAGTAAGCATTAATTAAGCACCACATGCCAGACACTGTGCTAAGTGCTGGGCATCCAAAGAAAGGCAAAGATATGGTCATTGGCAATGGTAGTTGGACAACCCTGAATGGAATGAGCTGTCCCCTGCTAGAATCCTTGACTTCCTTCAAAGCTTACCTTCTGGTTCATTCCTATGGAAAGCCTTTCCAGATTCCTCCAGCTGTTAATGTTCTCTCCTTGTCTAACTATGTGTATACTTAACTGTTTATAAGCATATTGATTTAGAGCTGAAAGGGACCTTTGAGCTTATCTAGTTCAACTCTCTTTGACAGCTGCGGAAACTAAAGCCCAAGGGTATGAATTCACTTGGCTGGGGTCACAAACACATAGGAAGTACTTGGCAGGACAGGATACAAACTCAGGTCCTCTGCCTTCAACTGCAGTCCTCTTTCCACTATTCAGTCTCCATGGTAGAATGGAAGCACCTTGAAGTCAGGGGCTGGCTTTTTCTTTTGTCTTGATATCACCAGCACTTAGCACATTGAGTGGTGATGGTGAGGAGTGGGGGGTAAATCTCTAACGTATGATCTCAGAGGTTTTCCCAGAGTGCTGAGGTGAAGTTACTTATATTGGGTCAAATAGCCAATATGTTTCAGAAACATAGCTTGAATCTAGATCTTCCTGACGCTAAAGCTGGCCCCCCATCTGCTACGCTGTGCTCTCTCATCTTGCACATAGTAGATGCTTAATAAATGCTTGCTGGATTCGTTTGTCCCATGGGCATCTTGCTCAGGCCCTGGTCTATGGGGCCAAGTTATTTGGGTTTTTGTTCAAGTCTATTCTTTGGGTATTCCACAAATCCTAAAAAAAAATCTCAAGTGAGTAAGAGGGAGAAGGCTGCAGGGTTAATGGCTGCTCATTTATTAGAGATGGTTCCACTGGGTAGCATAGGTCAACATTTCTCCGTTTCAGAAGGAGCACATAGGCCACAGTCCGTCTTCCCCTTTATACCAGGTCACGTGATGGCCCTTCACCTTTTACTGCTACAAACCCCACTTTAAGCTAAAGTAGGGAAATGTCTGTACCCTTTCCTCTATCAAAAAAAAAAAAGGTTCATCTGATGAACCCTTAGAAAGAAAATGAAAACAAGTTCAAGCTTACTGTTTTTATACCTGAAAGCACCCTGGCTAGACAGGACTCTTTGCGATTGGTGTTAAGTGACTTGCCCAGAGTCATGCAACTAGTGAATGTTATGTGTCTGAGGTCAGATTTGAACTCAGGTCCTCCTGATTCCAGGGCCAGTGCTCTATCCACTGTGCCACCTAGAGGCCCAAGACAGAACTTTTTTTCTTGGCCTGGAAGCATTCACCTATCCTAACTGTGAATCAATACCCTTCTCTGCTTTGCAGACTTGTGACGTTAGGGGCTGTAGTCTCTGTGTTGTTTGAACACAGAATTAATGGAGGAGTTTTCGATGCTGAACTGTCCTCAACATTAAAACAAAACTGCAGTCCACAGTAGGCTTAGAATTGCCCCCTTTCTGTGCTACCAAATCAGAGTGATCAGTGATGCTATTTCTCTTTGCTCGTTATCTCAGAAATCAAAGGATTTAGAGCTGAAATCAAGGGTTCTTAACCTGGGGTCCACAGATCCCCAGGGGTCTGTGGATAGATTTCAGGGGATTCCCAGCTTGGATGGGAAAAATTGCATCTTTATTTTCACTAATCTGAAACTCAAATTTAGCATTTCCTCTAATTTTTTAAGAACTTTATTCTGAGAAATAGTCTATAGGCTTCATCAGATCCCCAAAGGGTGGATTATGACACAAAATATTAAGAACTCTTGGCTTAAAAAACCCTTGGGGACCACCCAATCACCCTTATTTTATAGAGGAGAAAACTGAGGCCCAGAGAAGGGAAGGGACTTGATAAAATAATTATTGATTTTTCTACCGAACTTTATTTTGCATGCATAATTTCTTTTGCTTCTCCACAAAACCCCTGTGAGGTAGATGCTATTAGTGTCCCCATTTTGCAAATGGAGAAATTGAGGGTGAAAGAGGTTACTTATAAGCATCTCGGGGATTTGAACGCAAATATTTTGACTCTAAGACATCACACTCATTTGGTAACAGTTTCTTCTACATATGCTAACCCCAAACTGCTATAAAGCCCTTCTAGGGGGTGGGATTTTCAGGCCCTTCCTAGACTTAGAGAAAGTAGAAGAGATTATTATGAGCAGAGGTAACATACAGGAACAAAGTGCAATAGTCTTCATCTGGACTGCTTAGAAACGAGAAGCCAAATGCTTCGTTTAGAATTTGTATTTGCAGGTGAGGACTCTGAAATGTGTACAGTATGTGAGTAATCTTTCTAAAAGATGGGGATTAGTGGAGATGGAGGTCGTAAATATGAAGATAAAAGTTTTGCTTACTTTTTCAGTTTTACCTATCTTGTCTCTTTTTGTATCCCATTTGGTTCAGGGAATGTTTCAGGGCTTGCCCCCCATGTCTACCCCAAATGAACTCTCCTTTGTATAATATAATGGCCATGCCTACCAGGGTATGCAACATGTTGTTCTTGTCATCCCTTGTCTCTGCCAAGAGGTAGCAAATCTGGCTCATGGTATATTCTTTTTGACTGTTCTTCATTTTCTTGTCATTCAGAATTAATTCACTTTGTTTTAAAGTGATTGTTTCACTGATATTGTTGTGGTTGTTTATACGCTCTTCTAAGTTCCCCTTATTTGACTCCATGTCCCATGTTTTCCTAAATTCCTCATATTTATCTATTCTTATCAGGTAATAATATTTGATTGTGTTCATAGCCCACCATTTGTTTAGCAGGCCACTACTTTGGCTTCCAGTGACCATAATAAGTCTGGCCATTTCATTGTAGGAGGATAACTCAGATTGGTTATTGTCACATGCATTTGAAAATTATGGATTCTATTCCATGAGGTCTTTAGAACTGGCATTGCTGCGTTTTAGGTTGTGATTATTGATGACAACAGTCGTGCTATTGTTTCCATTGGTAAGCTAGGCATATTTCCTGTTATATGTGAAAGGATAACAAAGCCTTCTAGAGACTAGTGTTTAATGAATGAAATCTCTGGCATCAAGTGTGTAAGGGTATGTCAAAGTCATTCCCTAAGTTATAAATGGTATTGAGTAGGCAAAAACCTGTTGAACTTGAAATGAGAAAGACCTGATTTTGAATCCCATATCTAATACTGTCTTTGTCTCCATGGGCAAGTAACTTTACCCTTCTGAACCTCATTTGCACATCT